GCCGTGGGATGCGGCGGGCACTGCGCTCCAGGAGGCGCGGGAGTGAGGGCTCTGGGCAGTGGGGTAGCTGTGTGGCTCAGGCAGGGCTTTGGGGCCTCAGAGGGGAGGGTACAGGCAGGGAGTGGCTGGCAGAGGCTGGTGGCAGGGCACGGCGGCCTGACTAAGGGGTGACTACTATCATGAGGCTGAGGTCACCCAGAAGCAGGCAGGTGGGAGGTGAGTAGGGATGGCTGAGAACGTGTCTAAATGCCCCCCTCGCTGCCCCAGAGAGCCAAGGTCTCCCTAGCACTCAGTGTCAGAGCGGGGACCCTATGCCCGTGTCTGCTCCCCTTGCAGCACAGCTCACACCGAGGGTGCTGGGGACCCCAAGAAGGACCTGGGATGTCACACGGAAGACAGCCTGGGTTCTGAAGACACTTCTGCTATTTTTTTCCCAAGCATTTTCAAGAATCACATGAATTGCATATGAGCACAGATGCCCAGTGAGAAGCAGACCTCAGAAGGAGGGTTGAGCTGCAGCAGCAAGGAGGGGTGAGGGCACAGCACCATACAGTTGGCGCCCACCCACACAGGGCGGCCGGTTTGGACACCAGGCCGGGCGGCAGATGGGGCCATCCCATTTTATAGATGGAGTTGAGGTTCTGGCCTGGAGTCTCTGGGCCACACACAGGCTCACGCTCCAGGCTCCCAGTGTCTGTGAGACAGCCAGAGGAGGAGACAGAGGGTCAGAGAGTCACATGGCCTGTCTGGTGTCACCCAGATCTGCTTGTTCCCAAGCCCTCTGTCCATGAGCACCCTCCTTTCTAGAAAAATCAGGAACCTGCCTCCAAGTTTGAGTGAACTCCTTAGGGCAGCAGCCGCCGAGGAAGGAAATAAACAAAGACCCAAACAAAGTCATAATGGAACATTCTTCCATTTGAGTTTCTTTCTGATGGCTGTGCCGCAGCGTTGTGCCACCTGCAGTGAGTCTCACTCTTCTATAAGCTCTCGTGCCAGGCCTGTGCACACTGCATTTTGCAGCTGTCTGGTGAACATGAGGTTGAAGGAGCCTCGAATATGGCTGGCATTGCTCCTGGATATTACACGTGAAGTCTTGGGATGTGAAGATTTACAGCGAGCCTGGACCTTGGAAGGCCGGGCGGTTTGCTGGCTGGCGGAGAGCTGGGTGCGGCCTCTTGATAAGGATCAAGCCTGTCGTGGCCAATTGAGGCTTTTTTCATAGTGATCCTGGCCAGGCCTCGGGTGGGAGTCTACATAACCTGGGGCTCAGGGAGGGGCGGCGTGGCAGCTCTGCTTCCCCGCCAGAGAACTGCATGTGCCCCGTGTTTCATGAAGGTGACCCTTGGGCCCAAGAGCAGGGACAGAAAAAAATCCATCCAGTGCAGGCCGATGTTGAGTGAGGGCCTCCTGTAGGACACCCTCCTGGGAGAGCTCCTGCTCTCAGGTGGGGCTGGGGGAGGCAGAAGTGAGGGCTGGCAGAGAGGAAGCCTGGGGCTGTGGGACCCTGGGGTAGGCCCCCAGTGTGGCTGGTCATCAGGGAGGGCTTCCTGGAGGAGGAGGAGTGTGATCTATATTTTGAAGGGAGGGAAGGAATTGTCCCGGTGAGGGGCTGGTGAGGGTATTCTAAGCAGAGAGGGCTCAGATGCTGTCTGGGGGTGAGCAGGATCCACGGGGCGGGGTGGCTGAGGGGCACGGTGGCTTCTCAAGCCGTCCAGTTTCTCCCCATCACCTCTCATGCAGGAAAGCCTTACTTTTTACGCTCTCCCTCCCGCTAAATGCGAGTCCACGAGACATTGTTTCAGGAGTGCAATGCCATTAAGCAGTGAACTGTGGACAAGAGCATCCAGGGTGGGGGTCACAAGCCCCAGAGGGCAGCGGGCAGTGGCCGTCACTCCCTCTCCACCGTGTCAGGAGGGCTGGGACCCCGTGATGTGCTCATCAGGATTCCATGTGCTCTGGCTTCCCCAAATTCCTGCGGCCCAGAGACAAGTGATAGCATGTGCTTGGTGGAGCTGGACTGGGTGCCCACCCCCTGTTTAAGTCACCCGCGCCACTGAGGGCTGGGCGCGAGCCTGGAACGGCAGTTAGGAGCCGCGGGGTCTGAGCTCGCCGGCGGCGTGTGTCAGGCGAGTTGGTTTCCTCATGGGTCACTGTGGGGGTCAGCCACGGTGGGATTAGAGTTCACGCGCTGGTTGCTAAAATCTTCAGTCCTGCAGAAGCCAGAGCTGCTTTGGCCTCAGGAACACTTTACAGCTGAGGAAACCGAGGCACCCAGAAGCAAAGGTTTGTCTGAAGTGAGGAGTCACTGGGGCGGAGCTGGTTCTCTGGCCCAGAGAAAAACCGGCCCCTCTCAGGCTCACGTCCCTGGGCCAGGGAAGGAGGACACTCCTGTTGCCAGGGCTGGGTCCTGACCCTGTGGGCCCAGGCCCTTTGCTTCTGTGGACTCCTCCCTCCATAGGAAGTATTTAAAATTGCACTTTTACGACTGTCGATGTAAAGATGAATATATAGGAAAACAGTCTCTCCAACCTGAAAAGTTTTGCTTTTATCCTGATTTTAAGAGGAGCAAGATCATTTTCACAGTTTCCGGAAGCACAGCAGGGCCTGGCTGGGAGCCCTTTCCCTGGGGAACCTGCTGCTGCTGAGCCCCGCGCAGGGCGTGGGCACGGGGCAGCCTCGCTGGACTGACTCCTCTCCCCACGGGCATCCTGGTCCCGCTCAGCGTGACCTTCAGCATCCTCGGACCCCAAGCTGTTTTCTGCTGACTACAGCAGGGGCCGTGTGGTGTCCTGTCATTGATTGTTCTAGAAGAAATGCGGATGGGATCAGGCAGCTCTGGGAGGGGCTTTCCAGGGTGAAAACGTTGGCGCTGTGGGCGTGCAGGGAGCTTGTGTGCTGAGGATCAGTTCGTGCCAAGGCCAGGCGAGCGGTACCAAGGCAGGGCGTGTTATCCTCGTGTATGCTGAAAACCGCGCTGCTCTAGCCAAGGTCCAGGCACTCGGCCCTCGTCCTCTCTGACGCCCACGCTGCCTTCAGGAGCCTCAGCTCAGAGGGAACCAGTGAGTCCCATTGTGGCTGGGAAGGCAGGGAAGGAACGCCGATCAGTAGGAAGAGTGGCAGGAAAGGGTTCTCTGCTCAATGCCTGTTGAGATGGAGTCAGCCCGGCCTCGGGCGAGATGCAGGGTCATTCAAAATCCCGGAACATGCTCAGGTCAATTGCCAGGGAGGAAACTGAGGCTCAGAGAGGGGAGTGACTGACTGATTAAAGATGGCAGAGCGAGGGCTGGCGGAGTGGGGCTCTGTGGGGTGGTTCCCCCGAGATACCGAGCTCTGAGGAGCATGTGGGGAACCAGCTGACGGCCTCCATGCTCACTGGGAGAGTTCACGCCATCTCTGTGGTCTCTCCTCGGTCTCTTTAGGTGCACCGGGGCATCAAAGGTGTGGTGATGGACAAATTCGGCAAGCCCGTCAAAAACGCCCGGATTTTAGTCAAAGGCATTCGCCACGACATCACCACAGGTGAGCACGTCCCTGGAGGTTCCCTGGGGCCCACGTCTGCCAAGGGAATGCCACACAGTGGCAGCCGGCATCCTCATGCACTCACAGTGTGCCCAGCCCTTGGCAGGATGCTCCATTCCTTCCCAGGCTGGCTGGGTCGGGGAGGGTGGGCAGGAAGCAGGGTCTGTGCCTGCTGCAGGCTGCGTCTCCTTGCAGCCTTTGGTGAGGGAAGAGCTTGCCCGGCCATGGCTACTGAATGACGGGTGGATGCGTGCTCTGTATTCCTGCGAAAATGCCTCCTTCTCCAAGAGTGCTGGGGAGAGCTGACTCCACCCATAAACCTATTGGTTTCGATCCCAAAGCTCATACCCCATTGACAAGCCGGGGTGTCCAGCCCCATGCGGGCTCTGGCTGCCCTTAAAGGGATTTCACAGCTGATGAAAAATGACAGTATGCTGTGATGTGTGTTACCTGCCAGAGATGTGGTCCAGAGAAGAGCAGGACTTTTGCTACCTGTGGTTGGGTATGGGGGATGGGAGTGGTCATCGAAGGTTTCAGAGAAGAGGGGGTGCCTAAGCAGGGTTTTGAGGGATAAAAAAGAGTCGGACAGAGAAAAGAGGTGGGAAGGACACTCCAGGCTCACACAGAGGCAAGTGCACATTTGGCGTCTGCCAACCTCTCCCTACTCACACCCATCACCCGTCACCCCGCGGCTGGGTCTGCAGTCCTCCTGAGAATCATTTGTAATCTATTTGTCCTCAGCCCCTGATGGCGACTACTGGAGATTGCTGCCCCCAGGTACCCACATTGTCATTGCCCAAGCCCCTGGCTACACCAGGGTCATCAAGAAAGTCATCCTCCCGGCCCGGATGAAGAGGGCTGGCCGTGTCGACTTCATTCTGCAGCCTCTGGGGGTGGGACCCAGGAACTCTCTTCACGGGCTGCGGAGGACTGGGCCCCACGACCCGCTGGGAGGTGCCAGCTCTTTGGGGGAGGCCACGGAGCCCGACCCACTCCGGGCACGCAGGCAGCCCTCGGCCGACGGGAGCAAGCCCTGGTGGTGGTCCTACTTCACATCGCTGAGCACGCACAGGCCACGCTGGCTGCTCAAGTACTAGCCCCAGCCCCGGCACCCGCCCGGATGTGGAGACCCAGGCCCATGTCCGTGTCCTGGGCCCCTGGCTCTTGATTTTGTCTGCCACGGACATTCCACAAAGCCGCCGCCGTTTTATTAAAGTGTTTATATCCACTTTCCACTGAAATGAGAGGCTGTGTGTAAGGCGCTTTCCAGGGAAGGCTGGGGACTGACCCGTGTTGCCTGAGGACAGCTGTGGCCTGGGCCCCGTGGGGCAACCCCAGGCAGCTATTCTGCTGCCCACAGGTCCCGATTGCAGGCCCGAGACTCCAGCCCATCTGTGCTGGGCCAGTGGGACTAGCTGGCTTTTCCCAGCCACCAGGCCTTGAACTGACTTCAAATGGGAAACTGAGGTGGGCCAAGGGCGTGAGCCTCTGTAGGAGCTGAGCTCTGGATCCTGCAGCTGAAGCTCATGTGTCCTGGAGTGCAGAGGAGAAGCGGGGGCGCTGAATGGGAGGATGGGGGTGGGCAGCAGGTGACCCCAAGGTAGGGTCAAGACCTCGAGGGCAGGAGAGCTGACCAGAGCCTGGGGCCTCATGGCATGGTGGAGGGGACCACACTCAGGCTCACAGGCTTCCAGGGGGGCCTGGCTCCATGGGGGTGGATATTCCTGGGTCCTCCCTCATCCCGATCATGCTACTTGGGTCCAGGGACCCTCTCCTGTCCCCTCTCTCACCATCCAGAAAGTCTGTCAGCCCCAGGATCCTCCAGGAAGGGGTCCCATAGCCTGAACAGAGAATGCGGCAGAGAAGGTGCCTGAGCCGGCCAGGGCTGTGTCAAAAAGCAGTAGAGACCTGGCGCTTCAACAGCACAAGTGTGTCCTCCCGCAGCCCTGGGGGCTGACGTCAGAGCCCTGTCGGCAGGGCAGGCTCCTGGCGCCACTCCCCGGCTCGTTGGCGGTCATCCTTCACCCCTCTTCCCATCATCGTCCCACTACGTGTGTCTCTGTCCACATTTCCTCTTCTTATACTGGGCTAGGGCCTAATATAAGACCCTAGTGACCCTTATTTTAATTTAGTTACCTTTACAAAGATGCTACCTCCAAATAAGATCACACTGAGGACCTGGGGCTAGGACTTCAGCAGATGAATTTTGTGGGAGGGACATGGTTCAGCCCCTAGGAGAGGGTAACATCTGCCACGCAATGGCTCCTCACGTGCTCCCGGCTGTGCCCATCAGCTATCCTGGTTCCAGAGCTCCAGGCCCGGGCAGGCCCCTCCATGGAAATGGGCATCTACTCTGAGCAGTGCCTCGACCTCAACTGAATGACAGCATGGTCCCCGCCAGCACCCTCAGCCTCATTCCATTGCCTCCTGGCAGCTATGCCCTGACGCGAAGACCTCGGGGTTCCCAGCTGAAGCCTGGAGGAGCAGGCACACCCCCGGCGCTGGGCGGTGTGCTCTGAGGGGAAGGCACGGGGAGGGCTCAGGCAGCCTACAGCCCTCAAGTCTTGCACTGGCACAGCAGAGGTTGGTTTGCTGAGCAAGGCACGGGTAATGATCTGGAGTGTTTGGGGAACATCTCACAGCCTCCCGAGCCCCTGCACCCTACATTCACCCATGCACCTAGTGACTTGAAGGTCTACATTTATTTGGTTCCACTGCATACAGGGCACCATGCAGGGGTCCTCTGAAACCCCAGGAGGCCTGTGGAGCAGACCTCTGCTTCCTGCTTTGCTGACATGGGTGTGGAGACAGCGGGCACGAGTTGCCCAGGACTCAGGGTGTGCAGGTGGCCGTTCAGTCTCAGTGCCCCCATGGGGCACCTGCACGAGGCTTTCCCTGCACTTCATTCTGTCCCACCCATTCACATTGTCTAGGGAAAAGACTAATCAGTGGGTGTGTGGGGTGGGAGGACTCATTCCAGAGCCCAGTTCATGTCAGGGGCCAAGGACCAGGTCCCCATCATAGAAACTGGGATGAGGAGTTGGTCAGGGAGCCTTGGGGAAGGCTGTGCAGGAGGGCCATGGCAAGAGTGGGAGCTGGGGAGGGGGAGACGAGGAGATGGCGTTCTCTCCACATACCACCCCAGATCCAGCCAGTGGGGACCGTTTGGCACTTCCATGTCCTTTTTTGTTTGTTTTGAGACAGAGTCTCACTCTGTCGCCCAGGCTGGAGTGCAGTGGCACGATCTAGGTTCACTGCAACCTCCACCTCCTGAGTTCAAGCGATTCTCGTGCCTCAGCCTCCCAAGTAGCTGGGATTACCGGTGCCTGCCACTACGCCGGCTGATTTTTGTATTTTTTTAAGTACAAATGGGGTTTCAACATGTTGGCTAGGCTGGTCTCGAACCCCTGACCTCAGGTGATCCACCCACCTCGGCCTCCCAAAATGCTGGGATTACAGGAGTGAGCCACCACGCCTGGCTCCGTGTCCTGTTGCTAGAATCTGCGCAGTCCGCAGTGACATCCTTGCCTCTGGCAGGACCCCCTGGCAGGGCCCTGCTGCCCCCTCTCACTTTCCGCACTCCCCGGTTTCCAGTGTGAAAGCTGTCAGAATCAAAATGGAGACACTGTGTTAAAAAACAAAGCAAAACAGAACCCCAGCCAATAAAGCTGGGAACAACCCTGACGGTATTCCCCATAAATCGATCACAGAAGACGGCAAACAGCACACTCGTGAGCAAAGTCCATGAACCTCACACCAAAAACACTTCTGCGAGACGCCTGCCCAGCCTCAGACTCTTACCACCCGTGTTATCGATTCCTGTGCCTGCTTTAATTTGGGATAATTATCCCAAAACAATGACGTGATTCTCCTCACTTTCCCATTGAAGCCTCTGTGCTTGTACCTCCCTGAATACGCACAGCGGACTCCAGCATACGTATTTCCACTGCAATGCCCGACTCCTGAGCGAACCTCATTTTCATTTGGAGAGCCTCTCTGGCAGTGGTTCGGGTGGACGCTAGTGCGGACGCAGCATCGGGAAAACAGAGCCGTACACCAGGGCTGCCTATTGCTCCAGGCGTGCTCACCGCTTCCAGGCCCGTCCGTGGACAGAGCTAGACAGCCAATTGTTTTTAAAGGGAAAACACATAAGGCCGGGAGTGGTGGCTCATGCCTGTAATCCCAGCACTTTGGGAGGCTGAGGCCGGTGGATCACCTGAGGTCAGGAGTTCAAGACCAGCCCGGCCAACATGGTGAAACCCCATCTCCACTAAAAATGCAAAAAAAAAAAAAATAAATAAATAAAAATAAAAAAAATTAGCTAGGCATGGTGGCAGGCTAATTTGGAGGCTGAGGCAGAAGAATTGCTTGAACCCGGGAGGCAGGGGTTGCAGTGAGCTGAGATTGTGCCATTGGACCACAGCCTGGGCAACAGAGCAAGACTCCATCTCAAAAACAGAAACAAAAATAAAAAACACAGAGGGTTCATGTTGCTACTTCCAATTCCAAACCAGAATGACCTTCTCCTGTGTAGAGAATTCCAGATTTCAGGGCAAAGCAGGGGAAGGACAGAGTAGAAAGTCACACAATTGTGCCTGCTTTATCTGAAGCACACAGGATAGTTTCACAGCCCAGGGCCAGCCCGCTACCCACAGTGCAATCACTGCAAACAGCTCCAGTTGTTTCTTCAAGTTCCTTTCGTTCTGGGATATAACCCACTAGGGCTACATATAAGCTCTGATGATTGACTTTTAATATTCCTAGCAGCTGAGAAGACCAAGGTGCCATGGAGAGCCACAGCCCCTCCAGAGGCCATGTGTCTAGAGGTGAGACCCTGAGGAGTGGGTCCCCAGGGGACTGGTCTCAGGGAGAGGTGCTGCCTCTTAAAACACAACAATGGACAGACAGGTGGAAACGTTCAACAGTAGCATGAACAATTTCTGGAACTAGAAATCATTATTTGTAAACGAAAAGTTGAATCAGAGGAGCGACTCCTGTCTCTGAGTTCTAAATTCATGTTGGGGAGGAACAAATGGAGGAATTACCTGACTGAAACATAAAGCAAAAATACCGCCTCGAGGAAGTTATGAGGGAAAAGAGATTTTGAGAACAGATCCAGTAGCCCCATATGCAAATAACAGGGAAATAAAATCTAATAGAAAAAAGACCTGGCACGATGGCTCACGCCTGTAATCCCTACACTTTGGGAGGCCGAGGCAGGCAGATCACTTGAGGTCAGGAGTTTGAGACCAGCCTGGCTAATATGGAGAAACTCCATCT